CAGGGCGGTTGCGGCTGCGCGGGGGTGCCGGGCCCGTGTAACCAGGTGTGCGTTTCCCCCACAGAGGAACTGAAGGAGTACTTCTCCCAGTTCGGGTCAGTACAGAGGTGCCAGCTGCCGTTTGTGAGTACCCGCTCATCCTCCAGTCCGCTGTTCGTGTTTTCTCGGTAAAACGGGAAAGAGCCGCCGGCCGGTGCTTGCCGGGCCCCAGCAGGGTTGGTCCTGCTGCTGGGGCCCTGCCCCGAAGCCGGCTCCCCCGCTCCCTCGGAGCTGCTTTCTGGAAGCCTCTTCTTGTACTCTAGTCGGATTTTCGGTGCTCTCCACCCTTAGTTCCTTCTCCCAGTGGCTGCCGCCGCTTGTCTGTGAGCTGTAGGCCTCATTGAAGCTTAGTGGTTTCTATGAGCTTTGAAGGAGCTTTAGAAAGCACGTCTCTCGGGTCCTGTTGATGCTGCCACTTCTGAATAATTAACCTAGAATTGCTTTGAGCTTCTCTATCATTGTGTTATCTTTCTTCAGACAAAGAATACAGTGTTTACGTGCCTGGTCTCACTGGCCTAAACAGTCTAAAGGTGTGGGTATGAACCTACAATCTTTTCCTGCTGTGCGGAGCTAACACAAAAACCGCAACCTCTTCAGGATGCTCTTAAGCTGTCAGCTGTTCATGCCTCTGCCACTTAGGGTACCTATCTTTTGAGCATGTAGGTCAGGGATACTAGTATCTACTGCAGTTTCTTAGAGATGAACAGTCAAAAAAATTGTTCCTTTCTCACTGTTATGGGTAAGTTGCAGGTCGCTGCTGAAGGAGTAGAGGCTCTCCTGCCTGCTTGCGTTTCTCCACATGAAGTCATGGTCTGTTAAATTAAGCTTAGCGCGTAGTGAACTTCAGTTAGTGAGCTGATGGGTTCGCTATCAGTTGAGGAGTAGTTTGGAAATGAAGAAAAATAGTTTGAAACAGTCTGGTTATTTCTGAATTGAAGCTTAGGTGTCTACCTGCCACGCTCCGTTCCTCAGGCCCAGGACAGAATTCGTTGCTTCATTGCGAAGGCTGGCAGCTTGCCGTAAACCTGCCTCCGTCGCTGATTAAAGCTGAACTGGTGCATGTGTGTATGTTTTCATACAGTAATTATTTTAGGAGTGTTCATTAATGCTTTAATCTGCCAGAGGTACAAAAACCTGCCAGCAGGGTTAAGGCACCCTAATTAAGACATCACTGGGATACTGAAACCAGGCAGTGTGACTACGGTACCTTGTGGGTGAAAACTTCACCGGTGTTTGAAAGTGCTGCCAGTCATGCCTGATGATCAGTGAATTCGGTGGCAGAACTGTTGTGAACTCTGATGGGGATCAGAGTTGGGATAAAAAGCACTTTGGTAGACCCGGCTTTTCTGTATTATCTCCTCTTTATTGACAACTGTCTTCTCTGACTGGCAAATTACTCTTAAAAACAACTTTTTTTTTCCTTCAGTGCAGTTAGTGCTTGTTGTCTTGAATTGCAGCCTGTTTTCTTAGTATCTTAAGCAGCTGCTTTATCTTGCTGAATGCTTTTCAAGTACTGTGGCAGGCTTATTTTCAAATCAGGCAGCCACTTAAATGTCAGTTCTGTTGTGACTGGCTTAGTAGTAGAGAACTACTGCAGTTTGAAACAACTGGCTATGCATTATTCCAGTCTTCAACTATAGCTTAAAATCTTAATTTTTTTTTTATGATTGCTGGACTCAAATTGAGAGAAAGGGATGCCGAACAGCCTCTGCTAGGCCCCCGCATGCTGTCAATGAGAGTAGATGTCTTAAAGTGTGGAAAAAGGCTTCTGAAACAGCAAGCATGCTGATTTCTCTGATAATTTCTGAATCCTTAAATTGAATATCCGTAGAAAGTTTTTAACAGCCTATGTGAATATTTTCTACTGTAATTGGATTTTATTTTTTTTAAACTGATAACTAGGACAAAGATACAGGCTTTCACAGACGTTACTGCTGGATTAAATTCTCAACTCCAGAAGATGTTCAGAATGTGTTTCAGAAGGACTCCCACATACTTGAAGGTGCCAAGGTAACGTGCTAATTCCTTTAATGATGTAATGAGTTGAGCTCTTTAATTCTGCCTTTGGTTGGGCACAGTAAAATCAAAATATTGCCATACTTGTTCCAAGTGTGATTAAGCATTTTGCCACTTAATGTGCTTTTGATGTTTTTTAAAACATTAACACTTTTGTTTATTCCCCCCTCTCAACTCGACTCATTAAGGCCTGAGCTCACATACCAGAGATCAAAACCTCCTGCTATGCTAAGTTAAAGAAATATGAATGCAATAAAACTGTTCAGGAACTGCCATGCAACTAGTTATTATTTGTAATACAGGTTTCTGCAGGATAGATTGCAACATCTAATTTGGATGTCGGGTGGCAGGGGCAAGATGACAAAGAATGTAAAGCTAAGCTTTGAACTTAGTGAAAATGTCTTTTTTTTCTTCAGCTATTGTTTTGTACAGGAAAAATCAGCTGCCTGCTTTCATGTGTTCAAGATAACTTTAAATTAGCTTTAGGAAAAAAAAGCTACACTTACATTTAAAATGTTACAGACAGCAAGTTAGTAAAGGAAAAAATATGACACTTACTTTGGCAATCTCAGTGCACTAGTGTATAGTATCAAGAGGCAACATACACCATCAGTTAAAAACCGTTGGTCTAGTACCCATACAAAGGTGTCTGTCATTGACTGGTCAGTTAGAGCCAGACAACTGTATCATCTAGCTTCACTGCAGCAAATAAATAGAGCAAAGAAATGACCATCCCACTGCTTTCCAAACACTTAGTATGCAGTGGTGTTACAGATAAGGATAAAAGGACGGTGAGTCAATGGCTGCCCAAAGCCATTAATAAATTAACAGGTCTCATGTCAAAATCGTTAGAAACTTGCATTTAGTATGTTCACTAAATAGGGGCAAATTACTAAGGGGATTTTCTTGTAGGCTTATGTTGTGCTTTGGCTGACCTAGCTACTCAGACCTAGTAGCTGAGTGAAACCATGAGCAACAAGCAGGCTGGTATAAGAGACATGATCAGTTCACATCTTTGAATAATTAATAATTCTTCAATATCCTTCTGACAACTAGTTTCTCATTTTAAGACTTTAAATGCTAGGAGATGGTAAGAGTAAAATGAATTGACAAGAGACTTCAGGGATGCAGTATGTTGATTGCAATAAAGTATTCTACTTGACATGGTTCATACTACTGCAGAAGTCTTCATTGGTTGTTGTTACACAGTACCTATTCCTAAGAAGAGCTGACATGTGAGTTACACCTGTGGTGCAAAAACGGAAGCAGAAATTAAGGATAGTTTGCTGACTTAAGTCTTAAACTGTGACAAGCCAGGCAACAGACTGATCCCTCATAAATTGGGCTGAAAATAACTAGGATATTGTATGCATAAAAAAAGTACCAGGACTAGCATAGCTAAGTATTTAGTGTTGATTTCTTGGAAATTATTTTGCTGCTTTTTATTCTTGAAGCTGTAAGATAGCCACATTTACTTAACTGCCTAGGCTTTGAGGACTATACTCTCACAAGAGGTGCAAGAGCTAAGAAAGAGGCTTCTTTATAGTGGAATAAAAAGCAGAAGGCAGGCAGGAGTTAGCTTTCTTCATTTCTTCAAAATGCAAGCTTCTCTTCTAGAAGCAAAATACACAAGCACTTCTCCCACTTTGTTCTAGGCTAGGTTTAGACAGTTACCTTCTATTAGTTCCACATAAAAGCACAAGCTTTTAAGATACATCTTGCTGACACAACTACCAATTGCTGTGCAAATTATATTAAACTTTCCCTTCAGGAGCTTAGCATTTGTGGTTATGGCTCATGAAAGTGAACCAGTTATAAACCCATCTTCCGCTTTCCATATGAATGTTTTAGAAGATCGGAAATGAAAAATAGGAAACCTTCTTGTGTAACTAATTTGAATAATTTCCATTGTTTTCAGCTCACTCTCAAACAGCAGTCCCGTAGAAGACGCAGTCAAAGAAAGAATCAAAGTGAGTGAGCGGTGGAAGGAGGCTTTATTTCACTAAATGTAAAGAAACTAAAATAAAGATTACTGAGAAACTATGAATGAGTATGTTTTTAAAACAGAATCCAGCTGTTTCCCCTCCTTGTTCAAATAAATTGTATAAGCCACACTAAAGAAACACTGAATCATAAACTCCCTAACATCCATTACAGCATAAGAGAGTAATTATATACAGCAAGAAAGCTTTAAACAGATGAAGTAAAAGCTTTAGCTACCTACAAAAACTAAAGCTGTAGGAAGGGGCTACATTCTTACCCTGAGACGCTGGGCAACAGGGAATGAGCAAAGTCAGAGCATTTGCTAAAGAATAATTCCCTTGTGAAATGTTTCAAAGTGGTCTCCGTTCCTCCACTCTCCAGGGGTAGCTGTCTTATGTAGAAGAATTAGTGTGTGTATGTATATCCACACAACAAGAGTTGTGAACTGCTGCGTTACAACGCCATCCCCCTATACACCTCTGATATTAAAAATGCCTTTTGCATGAAGTCCAAGCTTGTAGTCCATTTCTCTACCTCTCAGGGAACAGAGGCTTTCAGTCCTTCCTCCTCTTTTTGCTCTCATGCTCATGTTCTTTAGGGCGGCTGCTATCCGATGGCCGTTTAGAACCACCATGTTGCTTAGCTTCTTCCAGAAACTTGTCCAAACCAAATGGATCCTCCTCAAATTGAACTGGTCCATCTCTGCCCCTCCCTCTGGTATTACGATCTGAGTTAGAAAACTCTTTGTCAGGAACAAACCTGCAGGAGAAGAGGTGATACTCAGTTGATTGTAACTTCAGAGTACTAATTAAGAATATTTCTTAACTTTATTTTCTTACCTATTGGTCTTTATTCGAGCCTCTAGATCATCACCATACATGTCCTTATCCACATTTTTACTTGGCCTGTAGATGTTTTGGGCCATATCCTTGCCACTTCTCCAAGGCTGGTCATAAACATTATAAATTTCATCCTCTCCTCCAGCAAAGCCACTGTCCATACCCTGTGAAGAATAAAGAACAGCAGCAGTGTAACACAAATGAGTCTGCAAAACCTCACCTAATTTATTTTAACATCAAGATGCACTGATAGTGTCACAGAGACACACAAAGACAGTACTGTGTGAGTTACTATTGATTTCAAGTGAGTTGAAGCACTTCATTAGGATATGAGTGTTTCTGGGTCTGGGATTAAGTCCAGAGAACATGACACAATCATTACAAGCCTTGGTCAGGGCCATTTCTACTCTTCGAGAAAGCAATAGGAAAGATTACAGGCCATTCATATTTCAGAATAATGGATCATTTCAGTCTGCCCTGCAAGTACAGCTGTCTGTAATAGCCAAGTACAACCATACAGAAATGTGTATTATTCAGAATTTCTGGAAAACATTATTTCAGCTGACTGATCCAAATCACACAGAGGCTTATGTAAACTGTGAGAGTAGAAGTGCCTGCTTGTTCACTTTTGATTCATCAGCTTTCCCTTCTGCCTGCAAGTCTTTCATTGGAGATATGAAAAAGAATGATTGACAAACTGCAGGTCTATTCAGGGACTTTCTGAAGCCTAATCTACTTTTTCATCTCTGAACAGTATAAAGTTTGGGAAAATAAGTGTTGCTGTTAACTATTTATATCTTCAGAAGGATTTTTAACATAAGCAATAATTGGAATAGAAAGTATTTACTTGCTTCTCTCTCAGAGCAGATTTCCCTTAGTCAGTACATTTGTACAAAAGAAAATGAGGTCACTGCAGCTTGAAGGCAAACTAGCTTCTTTCTCCCCACTCCCCAGTGAGAAAAACCACAGCAAAAACACTTTAATCCAGTTATACAGAATATTCCATTTTTGTTGCATCAGCTATGGATAAAGGAGATCAATAGTTTCCTAACCACTTACGTAGAGACTTCTTTCAGAGCGTATCCACACCAAGCATGAGAACAGGGTCCCTTTAGTATTCTAGCCATACCCACTAAGGAAGGATGAGCATGTTCTCATAGAAAGCTACACAGCTGTGAAAAGGTATTTTTACCTTGCTCTGGTTGAACAGCCTCTGGTCATATTGGATTTCATTGGATGGCCTGGGGTTGGGTACCCCTAGGGCAATAACTTCACTGATATCTCTGTTCTCGTTTCTCTGCAGCTTTGACCTGAATGAAAAATTAAGTTTTATTAGGTCAGCAAACCATATTTGTTGACATGCTCAACTGCAACCCGATCCTGTATTAGTTGCTAACAATTTGCCTCAGGTGCCAGACTGTTGCCCTTCCTTACCTAGATAACGTTTAAAATTTGTCTCCTGGCAAAGGAAACAAAAGGGAAAGTTATCTTCAGCTGGGGATGACATTTAAATTTGCTTTCCACTATCTGCAATTTACATCAAGCTGAGTTGGTCTAAAATGTCATATTTATTTTTTGCAAGAACCAGTGTAACGATATTCTGGGAAGGCAGAACAATCTAATTTTAAGATATTGGAGATTTTAAGCCTCCAGAAACCATTTATGCTCAGAAATCTCACTGGCTTGGGCAAGTAAGATACTTCAGCCTACACTCATAAATCTAAGCTTATTTAAATGAAGAGCCTCAAGAAACAAAGCCGCTAATGATACTCTGGTCTCAATGGAGTTAGAGGATCCAAGTTTCAACCTTTGCTGTCAACATGTTAATTAAATCTGAATATACTGAAGTTCTGCTAAAGAAGAACCCACCCAAAACCAACAACCCGCCCATTCCTCCATTCACTTGGAAAATTCTAAATTTAGAAGAAAGTACTGCAGTACTCTAACACGGTAATACCATTTCATACAATGAATGGATGGTGAATGCCAGTTTCCAGTGTGAACCAGTGAATATCTCCACAAAGTAAAATTCAGGCACTCACATCAAGCAAAAGGAGAAAGCCCCGTGTAATAGTTTCCCTCGTGGGGAAGCCAGTACCGGCATAAAGCAGCTTTCTTCTGTGACTCACCTTTTGTCAGGGGCTGCCCTGGAAAGATTTCTGTCATGCTGTCTCTCTTTGCGCCGGTCATGTCTGATTTCATCTCTTTCTCTAGCTTCACCATCCTCTGAACAAATGCAAGATTGCTCATTACAGACAAACATTTAAAGTTTGAATTAACTATGCCACAGACATTGGCACAGTATTCTTTTATAGAAGAAAAAGTGACCCTTAGGCACTATTTAGAATGTTACACCTTAAACAAACTGAACACCTGGAAAGCCATGCTTTCTTATGCCACAAGCAATTAACTGTCCTTGACAAGAGAGTTAAAGCAGACATATCCAACGACTATGTTTTCTCGACTTTCAAGACCTTAGAATACTTGTCCATCTACGAATTAATATCCTAAACCACCTACAGATCATCGTATCATACTTTTATCTCCTAAGTGTAAAAATATCATTCAAACACACAGGCATCTAAGTGCCTTGAAGAACATTCTCTGATTCAGTATCACAGAATCACTCAGGTTGGAAGGGAGTCTCTTAACTCAA